TCCCAGCCTCTCCTTTTTTCTTTTTTTTTTTTATTCTGGGATTTATTTACCTTCTATAATTGAAACTCTGTTGCTGTCACTGGAGCTGAGAGCTGACTCCTGCTCACTGCAGCTCTGAGGCCACGGCCTGCTGAAAGCGGGTTTTTGAGGCTTTTTTAGCCTCTATAATTGAAACTTTGTTGCTTTCAGAGCTTAGAGCTGGGTCGTGGCAGGCGGGGAACCTGGCTTCCTCCATCACTGGAGCAAGCAAGCCTCCTGCTCGCTTCAGCTGCGTGGCTGCCGGCCGCCATCTTGGTTGGCGGTTAATTTGCATATCACCCTGATTAGCCAATGGGAAGCATGGCAAAGGTACAGTCAATTACCCTTTTTGTCTTTTATTAGATAGGATATAGATAACCTCTGGAAAATTGAAGAGCAGAAAGGGAAGGTTCAGCTTCTAGTCACAATGCAATTAATTACCTTTTGGTCCCAGATACACACCAACTTATGAAAGATAAGGAGCCCATGATTTTGCAGTTCATCCTCAGTATGGAGGGAAGAGCAAGTTAAGCTAGCAATAGAACGGGGTGGGAAAGAAGCTCTGTGGCTTTGAATGATTCGGGTTGAAGCATTAGCAAGATGTTTGAGGTATAGCCTAAGTATCTCTTGTCTCTAAAGCCCAAGTGTGCCTGGAAGAGTTGTCTGCTCAGTTGTCTTCCAGTTCTCTCCTCGACGTCACTACTGCTCGTTCCTTGTCTTACCCCCTGTACTTACTAGCAGTTCTAACCTGGTGATCACTGTCTTCTATTGCAAACACTTTATTCTCTTGGCTTCTGGGACACCTCCCTAGTCACTTGCCTTCCCATTTGCCACTGCTAAAGTTAGCAGCCCTCAGAGCTATCTTTGACCCTCACACCCTAGGAGATAACATTTAAGTCCTATCATGTTAATGTCATCTTCAGTCCCAACTTGCACATGAACTACCTACTCATGGGTAAGGTTGTCTATCTGACATCTTGAATGATGGTCATCTCACACTTAACATGTCTGAAATGGGCCTCTCTTTTTAAATAATTTAAATTATGTGTTCACCACTCCCCAAGTCAAGTCTCCTTCCATTACAATTTATCCCTCTATACCAAGCATGTCAATCTCGTGGCCCACGGGCTGCATGCAGCCCACAATGAATATTTTTGCGTCCCAGCCAATATAACAGTATGTAAGAAACGTTTTAATAAAAATTTTGTAACTTAATTTTTACAATATCCTGTTAGACATTATTATTAATAACTAGCCGTACCTGGCCACGCGTTGCTGTGGCTCAGTCTGGTTAAATGGAAAAGAAAGAAAAGAGAACGTGCACATTTCTAATATGTTTAATTTCATAATGCTTGTGGGTATACAATATTTGTTGTTGTTCCATTGTCTGCAGATATAGAGATTGTCTGGTTTGCCGACTCTAGAACACGCAACATATAATTGTCCATGTGAGAAGCAATCCGTATCTAGATGTAAACCACACAATTCTAAAGACTAGCCCTGAGCTTTGTTGATGGTGATTGCAAACGCCAATCGAATTGGGAATTGCCATCTCTTAAATTGAAATGGCATATCTGTTGGAATCATAGGAATGCGAGGAATGAGGACATCTTCACCTTTGAAAGGTCCTGTCAAGATTGTTGCTTCTACGAGGTTGCTCATTAATTTTTTTACTGCAAGCCGCGTGCCTGTCAAAGCTTTGGCTGGTTGACATTTCGCAACATGGCAATTGGCACGCCGATTTTCAACTGCAGTACGTGCGGTGGCATCCCCGGCAGATCGAGTGAATTCAAACACTCTGCTGGATAATTAACCGCTTCATCTGCTGCCACAACAGTGTCGACGGACTTGTGTGCGACTGCCCCGCTTTGAATGTTAGACTGAATGACATTCTTAAGTCCGTAGACGTCTTTGTTCTTGGCCGCAGGAATAGCTTGTTCGTGTGTTGCTTTTACGTCCAACAGATGGCGCTGTTTTTCAAAAACGTTTTTAACTGTCACAGGTGTGACATCTATATAATAGTAGGTATATAGGTATATAAAAACGTATTTGAATGCAACGTTGTGTCAAAATTTCAAAGCAATTTGTGAAGAACTTTGGAGATTTAAGATTTTAAACAAACATTTACATTTTTATTTATATAGATGAACTACAACGTTTGCTAATGACTGATTACTATAATCACGTTGCATTCATTTCCCTTAACACACCTTATGCGCAGGTGCATCATTTCTCTCCACTAATACTGGCAGCAACTATTTTAGCAGCCGATTACCCTGTCATTAGTCTTGGACTGACTTATTTGGTGTACGCAACAGGAACTAATTCACTTTCGGAGAATAAGAAAAGTAGATTTATTTGTGTTACATTTAATAACTTGTGCAGTTATTCAACGTCTGGTAATTTAATGTTCAAGAAAAAGTGTTTAGTTTTTATTAAAATGTTCTATTTTATGTTAACAATTACTCATTTATTTCAGCCCTTTGTATTCAGCATGTCTCTATTGAAATAAACTTACATTTCTATGAAAATTGAAGGGTTTTTTGCGGCCCACATAAACTTAAACCTTGTTTATTTGGCCCATGTTAGCTTTTGAGTTTGACATGCTTGCTCTATACTCTTTTACTTCTCTCCCTCTCTCCCCTCAGGAAATCACCATGCTGTTGTCTATGAGTTTTTTGTTTCTTTTTTTAAATTAATCCCTTCACCTTTTCACCCATCCCCGCACCACCCCATCCCCTCCGACAGCTGTCAGTCTATCCTCTGTCTATGAGTATATCTCTATTTTGTTTGCTACTTTGTGCATTAGATTCCACAAATGAGTGAAATCATAAGGTACTTGTCCTTCTGACTAGAGGCCCGGTGCATGAAATTTGTGCATGGATAGGGTCCCTAGCAGCTGCCAGCTACCTGCTGGGGCCTCTCCCCTAGCTGTGGGCTGCCAGCTGGGGCCTTCCTTTGTTCTGCACCGCCCCCTGGTGGTCAGCACATGTCATAGCGAGCGATCAAACTCCCGACACTTTGCATATTAGGCTTTTATATATATAGACTAGAGCAAGGGTCCTCAAACTACGGCCCACGGGCCACATGCAAATACAGATATTGTATTTGTTCCTGTTTTGTTTTTTTACTTCAAAATAAGATATGTGCAATGTGCATAGGAATTTGTTCATAGTTTTATTTAATCTATAGTCCGGCCCTCCAACGGTCTGAGGGACAGTGAACTGGTCCCCTGCTTAACAAGTTTGAGGACCCCTGGACTAGAGGCCTGGTGCACAAAATTCATGCACAGGTAGGGTCCCTAGGCCTGGCCGGTGATGAGAGCCAATCTGTGGGGAAAATGGTGGGGCGATTGGGGGGCCCCAGCTGGCACCCAACTTGGCCGGCCTGATACTGCCTCCTTGATGGCCACTCCCCCCGTCACTGTCGCTGGTCACCTCCCTCTGCAGGGCAGCTGGCGGGGCGGTTGGGGGGTCGCTGCTGGCATCCACCTTGGCTGGACTGGGGACTGGTGGCAGCTCCTGCATTGAGCATCTGCCCCCTGGTGGTCAGTATGCATCATAGCGACCAGTCGTTCTGCTGGTTGTTCCACTGTTTGGTCAATTTGCATATTAGGCTTTTATTGTAAAGGATAGATTGATTTTGAGAGAGAGAGAGAGAGAGAGAGAGAGAGAGGAGAGAGAGAGAGAGAGAGAACTATCAATGTGAGAAACATTGGTTACCTCCTGTATGTGCCCTGACCAAGAATCAAACCCGCAACCCTCTAGTATACGGGACAATGTTCCAACCAGCTGAATCACCTGGCCAGGAAACATTATTCTTAATCTTATTTTTTTCTAAAGGAATATATCCCCACTCAGTTTTGAACAAAGCAAATCCACTATCAAATTTATATGCTTTTTATTGGCGTGACTAACTCTATCAGGAATAGATAACTTCAGATCATATAAAAATTTGGTCTAGAACTGTGTTTAAT